CATCTGTATCGGTTCGTCCCTTGATGGTGCTCTTCGTCGTGGAGCCGTCCTGCTCCGGTCCTTCTTGTGCTGTGTGTGTGTTTCTCGGTGAAAACAACCCTAGATTCAACCGTCGACTGGTTGCGTGAGCAAGTGAGCCAGTGATGTGTATATGTGTGTGTGTGTGCGTGCGTGTGTGCGCGCGCGTTTTGGTTTCCGCATGCCCGCGAAAAGCCGCTCTTCGCAAACCCGTCGAAATCAAGTTCTGTTTCGGACAAGAGTCAGAAGGAACAACACCATCAGTACCAGCAGGGCCGGCAAGCTCTGCTTCCAGATGGTGTAGCTCTCTTCCGCACGAATGTCCTGTTTGTGGGAATAGGACGCGTATGAGCAGGCAAAGTGTAAAGGTTTGTAGCTTCATTCCCCACCAGCCTTTGCATAGCCTTTGCTAAGACACTATACATCCCTCAACCACTGCCCGGGCTTGGCAGCCAACTATTTCCAAGGACCCAATCTGGTCTTGCTTGGACATTGATGACACGTCACAAATCCAGAAATTAACTCCACGGAGCAAAACCCAGTCATGTCAAATGTGACCGTAATTCAAGCAGTCCGACAGAAAGCCTGAGCCCCTTCAGCTCCAACGTTGCTGAGCCCGACCTCTCTGGGGTAGCAAACCCATGTGTCCCAGTCTGGCTCGGGCCGCTGCCCAGCCGTAGTGCCGCCACAGGTGCCTACAGATCTGACTCGTGTGAGCCAGCCTTGCCCCTACTGGCATCTGTGAGGTTAACGGGTCTAGCCACCGAGGCGAAGGTCGCCCATTACAGGCTGACGCGACATAAAAAGGAAACTTGCGGAAGTTTCCTGCAACTACACGGCAACACAGGAGAAGTCACACAAACCCTAACATTAGATCAACTTGAACAAGGGCTTTTGAGAATCTATTGTTCATGATGCCAGGAGTATTGGGCAGCTGAGCCAGGGGCTGTTCGATAGGTCTTCCAGTGGTCGATGGATCATCGCCAGAGGCAGGCCAAGCCAGGTGCCCTGCATTTCGGGCGCACCACCCTCCTGCCAATGTTTTTGTAGGCTACCACAATCTGTCAAACGCTGAGTAGCAGCTGAGTATTCTCTGGCCCGTGGACCATCTGAGCTGAATCATCGGAGTTCTGAAATTCGCATCCTAAGAAGACTCTGTCTGCATGTCTTTTGGGGGCTTGCGAATGAAAATGCCAAGATCCGCAACATTTCGGAGGTTTGGGCTACACAGCAGCAGGCTCTCCTGCGCGGCAATGGTGTTCCACATGTTCCCACCAGGTCGGCAGCTCCAAAAACCGAATCCACAGAGTGCCACCTCTGACTTGTGTCTGCAGTTCTAAGTTTCTGAGCCTCTGTCTCTGATGCTTGCAGAGGAGCATGAAAAGTGAGCGACACAACTGCGCAGGCGAAGAGCTTTGGTTCGCGAAAGAGACGTCCTCATGTCAGGGTAGATTCCGCATAGTGACGGCGTTCCATTTTGAAGTCGTGGGCTGAGCAGAAGGCCAGTGCATGTAACTTCAAGGATGAACTATGAGGGACTACGCTGAGCGCCGCCAGAGCTCCCCAAGAGTCGCACCGCACTCGGCCAGTGTCCCGCTGCATGGCCGCATGTAGCGTGACAGCAAGGCTCAGGCTGACCCTATGTCCGTCTGCTTTTTCGTTCCGGGCGGTTCTAACTCGTTCCGCGTGACTTTCAGTGTCTACAAATCCGGACAACTCTTCCTAGCAAGCCCCCCCACTAACCTACAAGGTTGAGGACAGGTAGAGTAGACGCAGGAACGTAAAGATCTTGTCTGCATCTGTCAAATCGCTCGTAGGTTCAAGAGGACCACGAATCAAGTCCTCCGACATCCTTCACTCTTGCATTTATTTCGACAGTCACAGCTCGGGCCAGCTGGGTAATGCAAAATGCGGCAAAGCCTAGTTTGGCTAAGCTCAAGCAGAGGTGCCGTTCCGGAGCATGTTCAACTCAGACTCCATCACGAAATGGACAAGACTTGAAGCTGCAAGGTCTTGGCTGCCCGCCAAGTGCAGGAGCAGGACAGAGGTCCATGCACATCCTCTCCGCGGGGCGCATTCTCTGGGCCTATTTTTTTTGAAGCACCGGAGATTACGATTGGCCTACTGAACATGTGGTTCGAGGGGCTCGACACTATCATGGCTGTAGGTTGGGTGATGAATGGTGATGATGACAACGAACCCCCCCCCCCCCCCCGCCGGAAGCCACACCCATCATCGTCGGACTGGACTGGGGACGACCGTTGGGCTCGCCACGATTTCAGTCAGATCTCCTTCTGCAACCCGTGCGCTGGATCATTCCTTAAGTTTCCTTCCCCAGAGCCTACACATATAGAACAGCTACAGCCCAATCATGCAATACGCCAGTCCAAATGCCATGGCAACTAAAGCAGAGGGGCCCTGGTGATGCCGCCAGCGACTCTGACCTCAAGGACTTCAGGGCTGAGAGGGTTCAGGTGTGTTACGTGTAGCAACTGCACGACCGCTCCGACCCTTGCCTTGCAACCGAAGCTGACAAGAAGAGGCGAGCCTCTTGTGAGGGGTCATGGCTTGTTTTGCACTCTCGAGCTGCGTTCTGGCCCAGGACTTTGTTCCCTGAGACCCCTCAATCAACTCCCGAGCTTCAGATGGGTGCCAGGCCCAGGACATGGAACAGGAGTGGACAGAATGAGCTGGCAACGCCTGGGTGGCTAAACAGACAAACGAACCACGAGAAATGTTGCGGCAAGTGTTGGCTTACCGGAAGGTTGCACCGTTGTTGTCGTCTGTGGTGGGCCCTTCGAAGTTTGCATCCTGTAGTGCGTCAACTGGACCCCCGAATGTTGACCCGCCATGCCGCATCCTTCTGCCACGCCCGAGGAAAGGGCTGCGTCGGTGCAGTGGCCTTTAGAGCTGCTGCAGCTCTGCCGTGCTTCAGGGTGGCTTGGGCCGAGTCGCTAAGGCCGCTAGGGGTCCGAAAAAGTGGCAAACTCCTGCTGTGTTCTTCATCCCAAATCCACCACCTCCGCCTTCTACGTAAGTACCTTGCGTGATGGGACACATTTCCCTAAACTTTTAAACGCTTCGCCGAGAAGGCTCTGATTCCAAGTCGTCGTTTGAGCATCGCGCCCAGCCTAAAGCCCTAAAGCGCCTCCCGACAGTCGAAGACGCCGATCTCGTGCGGCTCAGAGAGGGGGCTGCAAAACCTCAGCAACGGGATCGAGCTGTGATGCTCGTTCCAGTTCCTTGTGCAATTGGGGACATCCTACACAGCTTGAGGATGCGGCGTGCAGTCGGAAGCCTTCGCACTCCAGGGGTCTCCTAGGGCTGCTTCAGGGTTCACTTCAAGCAGTTCACAAGGTGCAGATAGTGTTCTCTGTGGCTGCAGCTGCGCTGGCCTTCTGCGGGCCTTGCTCCCGAACATCGCTCCAACGGCATCACTGCTTCACACAAACAAGGGCATCGTGGCATTGCACAAGGTGATTATTCCTTGACAGTTCAATAGGAGACGTTTAGGAGTGCCAAGCGCCGCCAACTGTTTTACTGTACAACTGGAAAATGTGCGGAACGCTCGTGGGCGCGTAATCAAAATAGGAGGCTTAGGTTTCGGCATGAGATGGTTGAAAGCCTCATAGTGGCAAATCTTTTGATACGGCCCATGCCTCTAGGAACACGAACCTCTGACAGCACGTTCTCAGCACTTGCTTGAAGTCTGTCCCTGCTGAGTTTGCTGCTGCATCCAGCGTTGCGGCTGGTGCATATAGCCAACTCGGCCATCATCTTTACAGTGACGATTGAACCCGGAGAATAACTGTCGAGGTGAAGAAGAGGCAGCAGAATCCAGCACTCTCTGGGTCTAGGTCCTGCGTTGCCAGGCATCACTGCAAGACGAGCGAAAGCGCAGCTCTCAGTGCGAACCTCTCCCGGAGGCACGGCACGAGGTCTATCAAAAGTGGGTCATGAACTTCTGTAGCGCATGATAGCTTTTTGTATCAGTGTATGTATGTATGTATGTGTGTATGTATGCATGCATAACAAATATAGAGATAAATTCATGCTAAATATGTACGTTTACATACGGGTCCTAGAAAGTATGTGTATACATACATACATACATCCATCCATGCATGCATGCATGCATGCATGCATACATACATATATATATATATGTGTGTGTATCAGCACGACGGTTTGTTTGACGGGCAGGGCAGATCAGCTGTGACACCGCAAGATTTCCAACATCTAAGCATCTGTACGAACGTTTCTCCACCACCTAAGCTACAGATCCGACAACCAGCATCCGCATTCCTGTTTAGTGGTACGCGCCGGCCTCCCACGATGCCTTCTGCAGCTCCACATCCCACAGCCCCACCCTGGCAACTTAACTCGACATAAACATCAATGGTTGCTCACACGTACGTAGCATGCCCGCATCGTTTGGGTGGGACTATGCTAGCTTTGCAGACTTTATTCTGAGAACAAAGTCAAGAGAAGGTTCGCGTATCATGTTCCGTCGATTTTTTCAGCTTATAACCAAATTGCCAAATGCCACATGCAACGGCTGGACACAAAGCAACATGTGCTTGCAAGAGCAGCGCTGGTTGCTGTGTTTGTCGCGGCGTTAAAGTTACGGCCTTGCGGCTTCGATATGCATGCAGCTTTTAAATGTGCAAGCTGCAGCGGACTAGCATGAAACACGTCTTTAGCGTGGTTGGCGCTGACTGGGCAACCTAGTCGATCATCGCTGTTGTAGGCAAAGTGTTTATGTTGGGATCGCTTCATGGAGCATGCTAGTTTTCCAGTCTTAACAACTCTTCGAACTCGGCCGTCAACAAAGTAAAGTCAGGGGACACATTGCATGTCAGAATATCTGTTGCAGCCGAGGCTGCATGTCATTAGACCACCAATACTGTGTCGTTCAACAACCAAAAGCCTGTGGTCGTAGAGCCATGCAACATCGCATGCAAAGAAACTCTATCGAGATCTGCTCGTCATTTCAACAGAATGGCACGTGGGAAAATGCGATTCAGCGAGGAGGTCTCATTAGGACCTTCGGCCAAACCGTCAGATGCCACACACTCCACAAGCAGGTCCCACGCGCCTCCCATCCTTGCTCTGGCTGAGGCACTGTTGGCCCTGTGCCAGAGCCCACACCGAAAGCACCTGCGTGATTATGTTCGACATTTGTGGAAGGCTGTCAAGACTTTGCTCTGCTGTGGGGCCTGGCTGCTATTTTGCTTGCTTCAATGCCCCTTTGACGTCTCTGCCCTGGGCCTTGGACCTCCACCGCGATTGCAACAATGCTTTGCATCTTAAGGGTTGCCCGTGAATTGCGTAATGCATTTCCGAGGTGCTGTCCCCTTCGCCCCCCCAAGCCGCGTACCGTCTCATCAGAAACCTTCCAGCTGGCATCCTTGTGGCATGAAAAATCATGAAGACTTACGGGTGTTTATCTGCGTCAATGTTCATTCAGGACGGCTTGAGTTTGAGACTTCTCCCTGCCCCTCGTTACTTAAGCAAGGGCAATCATCTCACCAGTATCAGTTTTGCATAGGTAGTTTCTGATCTGTTGGGATTTGAAATATTGGAGCATCGGGCAATCAGGAAAAGTATGTTAATAATGCTTGCTTGAGGGAGGCTCCTTTCTTGTTAGCCGCAAACTCCAGGACAGCTGCCCCAGAACATATCATACCCACGAAAGCTATCGTAAAGGCTTAGCTTTCGTCGTTTTGTCGGATTCCTGATCGGCCTTTTCACTTGGATCTGCTGATTCCTAATTTTCTCCCAGATCACAGTGATCACAGCGGAAACACGAAAGCAATCGCAAAGGCATGGTTTTCCTTGTTTGTTGTTCGGCTGCTTTCCCAAGAAACGTGGTAACACTTTCGAAAAGACCAGTCAGAACTGATTGCTGTCCCTGCGTGGCGCACCCGTGTGCGCGGGGAAAATGGCTCCCCGCGTCGTGTATCATTTGCAAAGGATGCGTCAGACGCACGTCTCCCGCCGTGGTGCGGTGCATAGTCTTCGTTTTTACAAGGATTCGCCTGACGCACGTGCCCGGCGGCAAGTATCTATCGTAAACAGTACCGCAGGGACCACTCTTGGCTCTGGAATAACCTGAACCGCAGCAGTACGAGGGGGAAACTTGAAACAGTCCGAATGCCGCAAGTCAAGGCCGGAAGCAATAGTCTCGTGTTCCCGAAACGTGCCAGTACTTTGAGAGAAGAAGTTTCGCGCTGCAGCCGCCAGTACTTGGGAGCAGCGATCCCCCTGTGCTCTCGAATCTACTTGGGGGGAAGCATTTTTCTAGTGGTCTCCAGGTGCTGTCCTGCTGGTCTCCTGGGTGTCGTTCTCTCTGCGCGGGTCTTTTGGTCTCTTGTGGTCTCAAAGTACTATCCTGGTCGCTGTCATCCTGGTCGCAGTGCTCGTCGTGGGCGGGCTTCTCATCATCTCCTCGTGATCTCATGATGGTCGGATGATCTCCTAATTAGTATTCTCTGGAAGGTGTCCTGGTGGTTTCCTGGTGTCGTGGTGGTCTTTTCGTGGTCTCCTGGCCGTCTACTGGTGGTCTCCTGGTGGCTTCCTGGTGGTATTTTGGTGATCTCTTCTTGGTCTCCTGGCGTCGTGGTGCCTTCTCAGATCTTCCCAGTGCTCCTGGAGCTCTGGGGCCTCCAACCGCTGTGTTCGAGTACTAATGTACTCGGAAAGCTTCCGAGAGGCTCCTCTCCGGAACCTCCAAACGCTTCGAATGCCAGCGGAGGACAGATTGACAAATGTAGTGCACGGAAGGCTTCCGAAAGCGGCGTAACTGTGGGAACAAGACAACAAGTGGTGCTCTCCGCTAGCAAAATCACAAGGATCTGCTGAAACTTTGCTCTGCTGTTGACATGCGGTTTCCTTAGCTGATCACGGCACGAAATCCTGAAGGCCTAACACTTGTTGGCTCAGAGGCATGCAGGACGCTGGTCACGCAAGTCCCAAAGTGAGACCTGCAGCTGAAGGTCTTTAACGTCGACATTGCGATGGACAGGCTTTGCTGGAACATCTTGCTGGTGCAACTCACGGCCTCACCGTTGAGACTGCCACCTCGGTGAGGCATTTGGCACCTGTATTACAGGCATACTGCAGCAGGTATCACCGGAAATCATAGGTGATTAAACTAGCCTGGAAGCATGAACCCCGCACACTGCCGGGCTCCGCTCTCAGGAGCTTCCCAGCCGAGACAAAGGACAGCGAGTAAACACCACCTCGCTGCTCAAGGCCGACAGGTTGTGGCTATTGTCATGGTGGGATCTGTATCGCCGGATGGCTTCGTATGTGTATGTTGATTTATCTCAAATCTCCCTCCCAAGATCTGCCTTCCTGTGAGACTCAACTTGTCACCCTCAGGTATCAAAGAAGATTGTGTTTAACGACGAAATATCCTTATTCCTCAGTCAGTGATGTTGTAAGGCCGGACCTTGCACTAGTCTCCACCGCTCTATGGTTCAATGATGTGCGACCGAGCACACTGCCAGAACGGCTACGGATGATGACGGAAGGTGCAGCATTCCTCAGATTGGGGGTGCTCAAGGGCAAGAGCGTTTAACACATCGTTGCCCAACTGCTGAAACAAGCAGGCTTGACATCAGTGCGAGAGTGATGCCTGCAACAGTACCGGGAACACGATAAATCCCAACAGTCGCCTCTTCCCAATACCCCCAGTCTTGCCGAGATTAACAGTCCAATCTACGGAATCTCTGACAGCATTCGGTGCGTTTTCAGCTCAAGCTGCCGTGAGACGTGGCGACAGGATGCAGGCAGGAACCGGACTCTCAACTTGACCATCCGTGCTGTTCTCGCAGCATAAACTCACAATTCTGGTTCTGAGCACCGTCCAGAACAGCGGCAACTTCCAGCAAAGCAGAGTCTGAGTTTTCGGCCATGAAGCGTACATTCAGCAACCCCTGTGCTCGCAGTAGTCTTGGTAGATTAGATCTTACGACTCAAGACTAACCCACAAGTCTTGAATTGCCGTATGAAACCAAAAAAGTTCTGGGGCGAACACGCCATTGCCGTGGAGAGGGCAACTCCATCGTGCTACCGACTGGGGGAGCACTGACTGCCGCTGGCAGGCCACTGGCAGCAGGCAAATGGACTCGAGTTTTTGTGTGTCTCTGCTTTTGCTCCATGAATCGAATCATGTCTGCTGCGCCCAGTAATCTCTTAAAGGACAAACAAGCAACAAAGCAAACTGCGCTGACATGATGCTTTAGATGACGGATTGTCGCTGGCGTAGGGCCTGTTCAAACAGAGTCGAGCGCATGAGTCTTCGGGGACAGCTGAGTGCACCGATGCTGCAGATAATTCGATGTTGAGTCACGTCTTCCAGATGCTTGAAGGAAGGCATACTCATCCGCAAGTCAGGCATCTCGCGTGTTTGCACCCTAGTAACCCTAGTGCTCAGTGGTCGCCTTGGCAAAATTGCAGCAGCAGTCTGAGTTGGAGTGCGGCAGCGGGTTACAGAAAGACGGAAAAAGACGCTTGCCACTGAACTGATGTGGGCTGGACATCCAAGGCTGGCTTCTGCAAAAGGCTTTTATGCAGCTGGCTGGCCGTGTAGTCTTTTACTCGGCACAGTCAAAAGCCCTCAAGTGTGGCAGTGGGAAAAGTCGTTGTCCATGCCAGAAACTGCGGGCACCTGTTTGTTCTCAGGCAGTTGCGGATTCGAGACATGCAAATTTAGGGAGTAAACATGAAGACGTTAACAGCAAGAACCATGTCAACAAATTCAGTGGCAAGGCGTAAAGCATGCCAGGAAGACCTTCCATGCAAATCCATGCATCAGCCGATCGGTCTTCACAGCCTCAACCTTTCCTCGGACATGTGAGCGGCTAATTCGGAGCTCATAGGCATCCTTTGCCGATGTTGTGGCAACACCAGCTCTTCTTGGGCATCGACCAGCCGACCTTCCACTTGTCAAAGCCTGCGTTGCAGTCGAACTCGGGACTGCCGACCAAGTGCTGCTGGACCCAATGCCACTCACCTCCGGCATGGCTCCAGTGCCAAATCATCCCTGCCGCCGCTACACCGGGGGGGTGACCTCCAGCCCCTGCGGCGCCAGCGGAACCAGTGGCCCCAGCGGCCCCAGCAGCCCCGGCAGCCCCACCTGCACCACCGCCATGTGTGACATAAGTCACTGTGTGGTGTGTGACATATGTGGCGCCACCTGCACCTCCAATACCTCCACCACAACCAAGGTGCTGATTTGCGCAGCACCGAGCTTTCTTTCCTCCGGACCAACCGAACTTAGAGTTGGTCAGGCCGGCGTGGCAGTCGTAGGGGAGGCTCTGAACTTTAGCACCGCCACGGACGGCAATCCAAGTCCAATAGCCGTTCACTTGGTTGCGCTTCCAGACCATGCCAAAGCCGGGGTCAACATGAGGGGGAGATTTGCCTTCGCAACCTTTGCCTTGCTGTGTACAGCACCAATGCTTCTTTGATGGCGACCAAGCCCGGAAAAAGTTGTTCAGTGCTGCATTGCAGTCGAAGGCAGGTGACGTGTCCACATGGACGGTGCAGCCGGCTTCTCCAATTGTACAAGCCCTGCACACATCGCAATCCACTTGAACCTGACTGTACGCCAGAGCACATGCATTCCCCCTTCCTGAGAACAAATGGTGTTGAGCCCAGCTCAAGCGGTCTGCACAGGTGGCGGTTTCGCCCTTGTGGGTGCAAGGGGCATCGCATTTGTAAGGGGACAGTGTGGTCTCTGGGCAGCCCTTCTGGAAGTGATCGCAGCACCAGTCACGTTTGGCATGAGTCCAGTCCGAAACCTCCCCATCGCAATGGTGAGGGGCGCAACCGCGGTGCTCGTGTTCGCAGCACCATGCCTTCTTGGAGTCCGACCATCCTTGCATCCAGTCAGAGAATCCGGCATTGCAGTCGTACAGGTGCTCGTGTGCATGGCCCACGTGACCGGTAACATGCGTGACCAAGTGCATGTGGCCATGCCATGTGCCCGGACATCCTCGGCTCTCGTGCTGGCAGCACCAACCTTTCTTGTCCTGTGACCATCCGAAGAACCAGTTCGAGAGGCCAGCTTTGCAGTTGAAGTGTCGCTGGTGCACAACCTCTACCGTCTGCTTTTCGATAATCTTCGGGGCTTCTGGCACGCGTACTGGGACCTTCTTTACTACGATGTGCGGCTTGCCCGGGGTAGGGACTTGAACGTATTTGTACTTTTTCACGTCATGGTAATGGTAGCGAGGTGGACCGGCAACCTCGACCTTGATCGGCTTGGAAGGCACAGGGTGGGGCACATACTTGGGGACAACGACGTCATGTTCTTTTGATGGCTTCATATGGATATACTCCGGCACCAGCTTCAGGTGGGTCACGGTGATGTACTTGTCATGATTCACCACTTTGACTGGGCAGCCCCTTCTGCGCAAGTAGCAGCAGTATCGCTGATGACGGAGCGACCACTTGTTGTGCCAATCGTCGAAACCACGATCACAATCATACTCGGTCTTCTGCGGCTTCATGACCACGTGTTTCACCACTTTCTGAACTTGATACGGTTCCCGGACGTAGACTTTCTGAGGTACCCTGTGAATCCGCGTCACGTAGTGGATCTGCTGTATGGTGTGGACTGCCGGCTCCGTCGTGGTTTCATCATAATCCATCTTGCAGCCGACGTATACCTCGATGCAGCAGTAGGCCTTTTTCCTGAGCTGAGGTGGACATATTTCATTTGACGTGTTTGCTGCATGGTTTTTTCGGTGGATTTGACTATGCGGAGATCTGTCAAGCGGTGCAAGGATCGACTCATCCCACGAGGTCTGCCAGGTCTTCACGTCCAGGGAGCAGTCGTGAGGAGCATCCATGAACGGGACGGCATGTTCCTGACGACGGAAGCAGGAAGTTTACTACTCTTGTGGTGACGAATGGAACAAGCCTCGTTAGGCTGACGATACTGTTCGCGAGCTGTCGATGTATCATCTGAGCATGAGACAAGACAGCGGTTTGTGTACTATTCAGCGTCTAAGGGACGTCGACCCCATACTTGCAGTGCCCCCCAAACGGAACAGCTGTCATGTTGAGCAGCGTGGACTCAACACTGCTCGACGAAGCTACAATAGGCAAGGCGTGTGCAAACTCAAAGTTGTGGAGAGCGCAAGAAAACTGACGCCTTCAGTACGTCATTCACAAATATACACACATGCACGCATCCCGCCCATACCTGCACTGAATTGACAAGCGAGTGCATGCAAGTCTCAGTCTCTCGCGCTCTCTCTCTCTGTCTCTCTCACGCGGACTCGGTCACCTGTCAGACACAGAATGTGCGCAAGTTTATATGACAAAGCCTTGTATATATATATATATGTATATACACACATTTAAGTATATTCATTCTATGTAACGCTGTAACACATAAACATGCATATGTACATACATATGCATATGTATGCACATACATATGCGTGTATGTATAAGTGAACAGTTTCGTGTGTCTGTGCTATATACCCATACATCTTGCTTAGCAGAGTATCATACCTCTACATACTTACGCATGTATGTATGTACGTATGTATGGATGTATGTACCCACACACAGACACATGTATGTATGTATGTATGTATGTATGTATATGTGTATATATATATACATATGCATGCGTGCATGCATACATACATAGTTTCGAACACTTGTGTAGTAGCAGACGTTCGCTCTTTGACATTTGACCACATGATTTCCCAGTAAAAACAGCACCAATTCTGACTTTCCTGTGATTATGCATGTTCTCTTGGTCGGTGAGTCCTGAAAGCGCAATCGACGACGGCACACCAAGCACAAACAAACCTAATCAAAGCCCAATAACCCGACTCGCAAATCATAAAATTATAGCCGGACAGAAAAATCTGGCTTTGACAGCGCACGCCTGGATGTTTTTGGTAGCGAGCAACTTACACTCTGACAACTTCTGCTTCTTTGTCTGGCTCCCACATGGCAGTTCGATGTGACTCGAGCTGCCAGGCGGGAGCCAACATGAGCACGAATCCAGCTTTTGCTTTCATTCGCAAACGGCACCCGGAGATCACAGCAGCATCAAACAAAAAGCAAAGCTTCAGGTTGTGAAGTCGGTGCTTTCAGTCTCCCAAACATCTTGGTAAAATCGGCGGCTTCATTCAGCACGGCCAAGGCAATGACGACACACTGACAACGATTCCATGAACGTGCTCCGCAAGTTGCGGGTGCTTCCTGATCTCTCAAATGGCACAAATCAGGGGCGGTAAACTAATAGTTCATTGGCTTTGTCACCTCCGTGCATATCATCGCGGAACCACTTCAGACTTCACATACATGGCGACCGCTTCTACTCGCGTTTTAAACTCTCCTTGGCCGTTGAATCAGAAAGAAGTTGAAGTTGAACCAACGGTCCGGCAGGTACATTGATATTCAGGGGTATCGGTAAGATGATGTCCCAGAGAAGTTCTCGTGTCAACGAACATCAAGAGATCACACAGCTTCTTCAGGGGACGTGTTCCCTGAACATCTGGATCCTTTGAAATCCCAGTTGTCTTCACCTTTGCATTTCGAGCGACATCGCACGAACTCGGCATACTTCTAGGCACTGCCGGTCCCCTTAACCAGGTAACCAAGGGACCCCCCACACGAGGTTCAAGCATTTGTCCTACAGCAGTATTTCCTGCTTCCAGCAGTTGTGGTATCCCCACAAAAGCATTGCCCAAAGACGTGGCCTGCCCCAAAACATGCGGACTCATCAGCAGCCATGCCTAACTCACTCCGGTCGCAAATTCTGTGTAACCCTTGCTAACATAAATTCATGGAGGCACGCGTAATCCGCAACTGTTTCCCCACCCAACGCTTGAGTTGAATAGCATGGGATCAATCATGAACGTAGAGGCGAAAGTTTCTGAATGCACGAGCATGTTTCGGACATGCGCTCATCGCCTCAAACAAGAGCTATGCACAAGTGCATGTCGTCTCGGAAATTCGATTCAGAAAAAGCACAAAGTATTGCTTAGTTTGAGCAAGAAAACAAGAAA